TTTGAACAATGTCCATAAATAAACACATATATATATATAAGATATCGACGTAACAGCAGTGCTTGCTGACACATGTAATCAAGCGTATTTTGTTCTGATTGCCTACTCAAATTGAACGACAGGTAGAACTACAACTAACATTTTATTGTTGATTGATATCCTCAACTTATAACTACTAGCCACTGAATAACAATAGTATTCGATATTGTATAACCGGAACGGAACTTATGGGTATTATTCTTCCCTCTCCCTTTCTCATATAGAATAGTGTTGAGCGCGCGCGCGCGTGAATATAACATGAAAAAAATAGTACAATAGCCAGTGGTCTCATTACAGTACTGAGTCTACATGTATGCATACATATATATGTAGATATGTACGAAATACAGCCCGGAACGAATGAACGTATTATATAAGAGAAAATAAAATAATGAATTTAAACAACCCATTAAGGGGATACCGACAACAATGAATGAATAACATGAATATATATATATATGAGTATATATGTATGAAATAACAGGTTAGTATAGAAGAATAAGCTTCTTGCAATTTGTTATACTATACAATCAAAATAGGCTTCATATGTGTTTTATTTTGATATTCTATAATAATAGAAAAGACAATTGAGAATCGGTAGATAACGAAAATCAAATGAAAAAAATTTATATATGCCACTTAAATATGTCTAAATTGATCAATTCACATCCACTCATTTTTTTTCCTCATCCATTAATGACTTTACTCATCTCATAAAAAAGAATAAGCAGAACTCTTACGGATTTTTTTTCTTTATATTCATTTTTTTTTACTAACTTTATCTTCAATATATTTATATATAAAAAAAACAAAATAAAAGAGTATGAGAATGTGAACATGACTAGACTACTACATTACCTTCTTCGTCTCCTTCTTCTTCTCCTCCTGCGGGATAGATGATAACTGTTATCAGACAAGCAACAACATGCCTGATTTCTCTTCTTCTAGCACATGCTCGTATGTCTCATCATACATACTACTCTTCAGTAGAAGGAGGAGTGTTCAAATAAGATGATGATGATAAATGATGGACGAAAACACGTACTGATAAGATGTTGGTAGAAGTTGCTATGTGTATGTCATCGAAGACTTTCTAATGAGAGACAGAAAAAGAAATCATTATTTATCATATCACCTGCTGTAGTCAAACAACTGCTGCTTTGGTTACACAAGAATGATAATAAAAATAATCATAATAATACTAATACTATTGTACACTACTCTTGAGACAATAATACTGCCTTTGATCTACGATCTATCTCTCTCTATATGTATGTGTGTATGTAGATGAGCATTGCGCACATATACGCTCAAATAGAAAGAAAACAATTAACTCACTAAAACTACTCATCAGGACACCTCACGCCAATGTGTTGTATGTTTGTCACATGCATATCAACAATACGATAGATCATTCAATAACATAGTGTGATCAAGAGTAAAAAAGAAAAGAGTTTTATGATGATGAGTGGTCAATGTCAATTCTTATTCATTTACCTTTTCTCTCTACAAGAATTTTATTCATCCTAGAAGAGATCAAACGTTTTTCATCTATTGATTTGTCCTTAAATCATCGTCTCGTCTCAAATTCACACTTCTCTAACTCACTCACTCCCTCTCTCTCTCTGTTTCGATTGCGTCTCAATATCCAACTAAAGGGCATACTCAATAGACACACACAAATAGCCTTGTGAAGCGACAGACCTTTGGCTATTCGTTAGTCGTCAACCAAACATAAATATACTCTTAAATGATTCTTCTAGTCTTTAAATACATACATTCTCTTGTTTTGGATGAATTTATAAGTAGAAATAATGACCGTAATTGTCGTTGAACATAATGATGGTTATTTTCATTTTCAATTGAAAACAAAAAAAAAATCTCTGAATCCGTTAAATCTATCATCTCATTTACAGAATAGAACAGTTCATTATAAACTATTTTGCACACATATATAATGTCAACATATAATTGAATACATAGAGACGATCAAGGATTCATAAAAGACTAATCCTTACCTTATTGTCGGACGAGGTTCGAAAGTCATCCTTGGTTTCTTTTTTTAACGTCGCTTGTTGTTATATTTTATTTTCTTGTCTCGACGTTAAAACAAAAGAATGTCACCATTATCATTGTCGTCTATTCTAATCAAATTAGGTCGCCTGATGCAATCTATCTGTCAATAGATTGTATAGTCAAGTGTTTTTCTTTTTTTTTTGCGAGTCGAAAGCAATTGAAAAAGAATAAGAATTGGTCTATTTGAAAAGATATGAGAGTCTGGTGTCGAATTGTCAAATTCCTATGATATGTATGAACAGATGACGTCAAGTGAAGAGAATATACAGAGAAAGAAAGAAAGAGAGTGTAATTAATATTTGATTAAACAAACTCAAGAAGTGAATTCAACAAATAAAACAAATAAATTGAAGGACAGAAAGATATATTAGTTATATTGACAAAGACAAGTGAGATTTACGGTGTTTTCTTTTTCAATCAACTCTTCATTTTCAATATCTCATTTACTTTTTAAATTATTCATTTTCTATACGTGAACAACTAATTTCATATGAAGACTTTCTCGTCTTAATGATCAATTCTTACCTGAATAAGCAATGAAGAATCTCATGTACATATTTTTTTTTTGCTGTTTATTAATAGTAACTTAGAGATTTATACGATGGCAGCATGACGAGACACAAAATTATATGTATCATTTAACATACCATCGCAGAAACATGTCATTACACACGCTCACTCTATTTTTTTCTTCTTTGGTTAGTTTGTTCCATACATGTACACATATACACACGTATACACTCAGATAGAGCTTAGACTAAATTGAACCTTGAAAGGCGAATGTCAATTTCATGTTAAATCACCCTTTCTCTTTCTCTTCACTTGAGTGTGAGACTCTTCGTTTTCTATCCTGACCGAACCAAGGGCTCATCTTCACTTACTTATATGACGGGTGCGTAAATACAGGTATAACATGTATATATATATATATACATATTATACATGAATTGAACCTGAAGGTTAACGGAAATCTCTCGTATGTTAATGCAAAGTCTCAAGAAAAAGGAAGAACGTTATTATACAATATAGTTAAATATAAATACATACATGTATTTATATACATATATGTATATATACATATATATCTTCACTCAAAGGATGATGACCTTCGAAAGGCTCATGTTGCACATCAATGAGAAGATGATGATGATGATAGAAGAATATTCATCTTTTGAAATAGGAATACAAGAGAAGTGTCGTGAAATAAAGATAACGATATATAAATGAATGCTAACTATCAAGGTGAAGTATTGTCTTATAAGATCATCATTTTGTTTTCTATCGGCATAAAAAAAAAGAGGTCAATGGCAACAAACTTATTCTCAATAAAAGAGATTAGATTAATGTGTATATACAAAAAGGGGAAAAAAAGAACAAACGAAAAAGAGAAAAATGAAAATGATCTTTACTTTGTATAAAATTAACTTTCTTTTAAATATTAATTTTTTTTCTTTTTCTCTTACCTGATTGATATATTATAAAAAATGATAATAATAAACAACAAAACTTTTTTTTTTAATATTACTCTTTGAATGAACAACAGAATGATACTATTGATATGGTATATAAGTATACACCCGCCTACCAACAAGAACGAGAGAAGAGAAGAAAAAAAATTAGAGATGATGTTAGTGTAGTATCGATATTTTGTGAGTGCATATGCAAACATCAAGATTAGTCGATAAAACACGTTCAGTTTCTTTTACCTCTTATCCTTCACATAAAATTCAAATTGCACGTCCTTTTTTTCTCTTCTCTTCTTTTAAAATGACAGAAACACAAAAAAAAAGCCGAGTCCATTGAAAATTGTATTTTGTCTGCTAATGAATCAAAAATCAATATAGGTGCGATCGTATAAATACGATTAAACACTTTGTTTGGTTTTTTTATCGCTATAAACTACAAAGAGTTGAATGAAAATTCCCAGGCGACAAAACTAAATTAAATTGTCATTGTCACTAAAATTAAAGAATGGAACAATTCAACAGTGAAAATTACAGATTGTCTTCGATCTTGGCTAATCATAAATGTGAAACTCCAATCGAGTGTAAATAGTACAGAGCAAAGTTATTTCATTGCATCACAATATATATGATTGATCTCGATCTATATCAATGGATTGGTGTTTCTTTCATATATAGTAAACAGTTTATCCAACGAAAAGAAGAGAGAAAGACGATATTGATAACAGATGTATATATATATATATGTGTGTGCGTTCATTTATTTGTGTTCATCAAGCAAATGCATTCGGCCTCTGTTCACCTTCGACATGGCATACTTATTAGATTGATGATTATGTTCGATAAGAATCCTTGATATTCAAGGATAAATACGATTAGATATAGTTTTTTTTTTTTGAAATTTTCGATACATTGTTATATCTATTCTAAAAGAGAAATGTATATTTACCGCTATTTGAAACATTTAACAATGTATTGTGTACATAAATTGAAGATAGATAAGAACAAAAATGCTTGAGGATATTTATCAGACTGTCTACAACATGTCTCTATCAATTGACGCGCCGCTATTCTTCGTAGTTTAAACATTTTCTAATCGATCACAGTTCAAAATTGTTGTGCTCGATTAATCGTGACACACATTGTGTCGATTTGTAGCTGTAATTCAAGTCACTTGAAAAGTATTTGATCACTATTTACAGACACATTCATATATAAATCAATTCGTCGCGTTCTTTTCATTTTTTGTGATCAACATTTTATGATGACAAATCAAGTACGACTTAATAGCAATATTGATAATATGATAAAGATCTAATGATCATTTAGTAGATGTTTTATTTTATTATTTTAAATGAATAGACAAAAAAAAAATAAAATAAAAATAAAAAGTCTATGCGCTCTAGTTGTATTTATTTGAGTTTAAATTCGCCATTGAAGTATATTTGGATCGTTTGCTAAGGAGCGAATGTTATCGACTCGAGCAAGTTCAACTGATTGATTTAGATATTCTTCTGGTTTTAATTTAATTACTGGTAAACGAACAAGTTCAAATTCAACTGTTGTATGTGGTTTTTTATATTCAATAAAACGATTATGTTGTCGTTCCGTCTCACTTTGAAGAAATTCATCACGATCGACTGTACGATAGGTGATCCGTTTCGGTGCAGGTTTATTTGGAAGCCACTGTTCAACAACAATAGGCCCTTTTAATATGAAAATAAAGAAGAATTATTAATAAAGAATATTGATCATAAGAACTTACGGGGTTTCGGTGGCATTTCAGGATAGCGATGAATAATGATCTAGTAGACGAACAAAAAATAATTGAATTACTTTTATAATTATACTATGTTATACTTGTTGAGGTGGTTGTTTATAATCAACTGGAATATATTTATTATAGACAATTGGTTCGTTTAAATGAGGTTGTGGTTGTGGTGGAGCACTTTTGATAAGAATTGGTGATGGAGTACGTTGTATATCTCTATCGGAAGCTTGTCCAACATATACATGAATTGGTGGACGTTGTGGTTTTGGTTTAACAACTACTTCTTGAATTTGAATCTCAACAGGTTCAGGTGTCGGTGGTTGATATTGACGTAAATAGACTTGTTGTTTATAAACTTGTTCATCAGCTTCGTGTGTTTCAATAATTGGATCTGAATCAAGATTGAGGTCATCGACGTCAAGATCAGTCAATTCTGATGAATCTCTATCCTAGAAAATAGTTAAGAAATAATAAAATCCAATTAAAATATTCGAATAATTAATTATTGGATCTTAAAGAAAGCTTACTAAATTTTTACGTGGAAAATCATCCACATTAGTTTTAATAACGATTGTATCTCGATCGATTCCATGTGCTAATGGAGCATTATTATCATCACTCATGGTTGTACGCAATTCATTATTGCGTTTGTCAATAAAGTTTTCGACATAATTAATAATTGAAGATTTTGCTGGACTTTTTGCTTCTTCATTCGATGACATGTTTCAATTAACTATACGTGCAATTTATTGTATTCTCGTCGACAACGTGTTTATGTATAGCGATTAATCTGAGGGCTGTCCGCTGTTTTTAGGTAAGCAACAACATATCGAAAAGCCACATCGTGTGCATTCATGTGGAAAACAGTCTATTTTATATTTATTTATAAAAAGAAATGGTGACTGTTTTTCTTATCGAATACCTATGCTATGGAAGTATCTCAATAAGTTTCATCACAAAGTAGTTATCACTTATAATTTATTATGTTTATTTTTACTACAACAAAAAATTCATTTATTACTTATTGAATCGATGTTTTTCAAGTATTTTTATTTAACAAATTACTTCATCCGTAATCAAATTTGTGTAAAAGTTCATTATAATATAAAATTTAATATACATCATTTAAAAAGAAGTAAATTATAAGCTTTGTTCAATATAAACTAATAATAATTTGAATTTGTTTAATGATTTTGAATTTTCTAAGAATGAAATTCGAACGACCAAAAAGTATTAAATAGTTAATATTGAAACTAAAATGAATAGGAGTGCACGCACTATATTCATTTATTGGTTGATTAGACATTGAAAAAAACATCAAAATGATTCATAATTAAGTTATACAAATGTACATTGTACTCCATACATATAATTGAAACGGAGTGTTAATATTTTTTTCATTTTATTATTCGGACTACTAATGAGTGATGCACGATTGATTTCATTCGTGTTTTACTAATGACTGTTTACCATCAAGTTAATTGCTAATTCTCCTTGAATCATTTATAGCTATTTGCGTTTCAACTCAAAACAATTTTAATATTCAATTATTAATTTAATTGTATTGAAATTTTGCGTACGATTTTTTAAAATGTTATTTAACATAACAGAATTCATGTTCGTTGTGACTAGGTTAACTAGTTTCAAAATGAAATACTGTTTCATCTGTTCATTTATTACGATCAATATTCCATTACAGAAAAAAAAGTTTAACAATCATTTTATCCGATTGATTGTATCTGCATCATTAAGGATTCATTTATTCATTATATTTTATGTCATCATAAATAGAGTTGACTTAAGATTCTTTGAGGATATGAATTTGACGATATAATATCGAAGTTTTTTTTTTCTTTTTTTTTTCAAAAACAATCTACTCGAAACTGGTTCATCGAACACAATTTCATTTTTTTTTCTCGTTACTTGAATCAATTCAAGTCAATATGTGACTTGTATTCTGATGTTTTCTTTTAATTAGTTTCAAAATCTACATAAAATTTATTTTCGTAATTCTGAACTGACAATAGAAACAAATGAGGGGGATGTCGCTAATTTTGATGCAAAACGCAATCATAAATTCAATTGATTGGCCAGATCGTTGCTATAGGAAAAAATGAAACATAAAAAAGAACAATTGGAAAGAGTATCAAATTCTAGCCTGAAGTTCTATGATATAATTTTAAAAAAAACACATATGTCCTTGATGTGAACTATTTATTGTTGTCAGATTTACTATCAATCAAATTTCTTTTTGCTTTTTGAAAAACAAGGTTTTAGGTGGAAAATAGATTGTCATTGAAGCTGTCAATAGTATCAAAATGATTATGTTTTTGAAGAAAGAAAATATTGACAATAAAACAAATATGAGAATGTGATGAAAGAAAAAAAAAGAAAAAAAGAGAAAAATTCCTGGCCAATACAATCAGTTTTTTTTGTTTTCTGTTAACAAAAAAACAGTAATTTTTATTGTTTAATAAAAGTCGTCTTTTAACAAAAGCGAGCACTGCTGATTGAGTCTTTTTAAAGCTGTATGTTTATATTCATGAACGAGAACTTTCTTTTCTATTTTTTTTTTCAGTGCTCCATTTGATGATGCTGTTAACAATATATTAAAAAGACACTTGACTTTTACGTAGATCAATACATTGAAATCATGGAGCTCGGCGAATACAATTATTCGTTGATATCGGTATGATATTTGATATATACTTTTTTTATAAATTTTATATTATCTTGTGGTTTTAAAGAGCCCTTATGATAGTTTTATGCGAAAACATCTTCAACATTATGGTTATTTTTCGGGTTAGTTCAATGTGAATGTTGAAAAAGTTTTCAATATTATTCTTTTATATTACAAAGGTCGAGGAGAAGTTATAAAAAAATACGGGTTTTTCCCATCAAACTCTCAAGTTATTTCATCATCAAGTGATTCGGAATCAAATAGTAGTGACGAAGAACAAGAAAGTATGTTATTTAATTAAATTTATTTTAAATTATCGTTCGAAACGTTTGTTTAATACGAAAGACAAATAAAAGGTTCAATATTCCTCTCTTTTTTTGTTTTTTACAGTAAATGATAATTCACACTATGTACTTGAAAATTCTTCTGGTGGGTTTTTACACTTTTGTTTATAGCAAATTTAGATATTTTCTCTATATTGCGTGATGTTTATCTTTTATCAGTATATAGTCGTGCAGGATATCATTTGTCTATTGATCAACTTAATATAACTTTTCCAACCGGTAAACTAGTAGCTTGTTAATAGTTGCATGATATGATTAGAGAGAAGTTTTGTTATACATAGAAAATTAATATTTATTTATAAAATATAATTTAGAATATAAAAGTAAATCAAATGTTGTGGATACAAAAACAGTAAGTTTAAAAAAATGTTTATTTAACATATGGTTTTGTTTTGATTTGATCAGCCTATTCGACAAGCTCGTATACCATATGGTTTAAATTGTCGAGGCGGTCCAAATGATGATTATTCATTTGAACCTCGATGGCCTATGGAAGTCGAAGTATTAACTGAACCACGCATTAAACATATTAGTATTTCACCAATGCAGCCTGAAGCTTTTTATAAACCAAGTTTGTTACAAGTTTGAATCCGTCAAATATATTTAATAATTTCGATAAATTTTAGCAACTAATCATGGACCATTTATACGTAGTGGTGATGAAAATAATGGTCGTGTTGTTTTTAATTATAATCCAGAATCATGTGGTTATGTAAGTTATGTATTTAATATGATTTTTAAATTATTTTATGAAAATAGTTTATTCGATCTCGGATTGGTGGTAATAGAGAAGGTTGTCGACAAGCAACTGTGTCACTTCGAAATGATGAAGATACAACTGTTTTATTTGAATCACGTTTTGAAAGTGGAAATTTAATGAAAGTTGTTCAAGTGTAAAAAATAGAAGTTTCTTTCAAAGAATTGATGTAGATTTTAAATTTTATCTTTTAATAGAGGTGAATTTGAATATGAACTTTATCTTCGATATGATCTTTATACAAAACGTAATACACAATGGTTTTATTTTCGTATGCAAAATATTCGAGCTGATAAACGTTATCGTTTTACAATTGTTAATTTTTTTAAAGTATCATTTTATTTGTATTCATTTTTAGTATCTTTATTAAGAAAATATTTTTTAGCCTACAAGCCTTTATAGTTATGGAATGAGACCTTTAATGTACAGTGTTCATGACGCTGAAACTAAGGGTATTGGTTGGCAACGATGGGGCGAAGAAATTGTCTACTATAAAAATAATCTACCGTAATGAATAATTTGTTGTATTTTAATACTTTCATCATTTATTATTTAGTGCACCTGACAATTCCTCATATAATATGTATTCTCTTACTTGGACATGTAAATTCCCAAATAATAATGATACATATTATTTTGCTCATTGTTATCCATATACATATTCTGATTTACAAGTAAAATGTTAATTCAATATTTTTTGTTGTTTTCAACTTAATCTATTTCTTAGGATTATCTGAATGAAATTCAAAATGATCATTTTAAAAGTCAATATTGTAAACAAAAAGTACTTTGTCGAACATTAGCTGGAAATTTTATTTATTTACTTACAATAACAAATCCAGCAACTGTACATGGAAATAATGCAAGTGCATCGCCTGAAAATCAAGTAAAAAAAGGTGTTGTTGTAACTGCACGTGTTCATCCAGGTGAAACAAATGCATCATGGATGATGAAAGGTTTACTAGATTTTTTACTTGGTGATTCAGCTGATGCAAAAGTATACAAAATTTCTGCCACAAAAAAAAAATTTCTATTGCCTGTTTGTTTTTTCTATTAGTTACTGCGAGATAATTTTATTTTTAAAATAGTTCCAATGCTTAATCCTGATGGTGTTATTGTTGGAAATTATCGTTGCTCATTATCAGGTCGAGATTTAAATCGAAACTATAAAACAATACTTAAAGATGCTTATCCATCTATATGGCACACAAGAGAAATGATTAAAAGGTTAAAAAAAAATAATTTTCTCATTCATTCAAAATTTTGATTTAATTTAATTGGAAAATTTTAGATTTATGAATGAAACAGAACTTGTTCTTTATTGTGATTTTCATGGTCATTCAAGAAAACAAAATGTTTTTGTTTATGGTTGTGAAAATAAACACTTACCTAATGAAAGACTTAAAGAAAGAATATTTCCAGCAATGTTATCAAAAAATGATCCTGCAAAAGTTTGTATTTTATTTTTCTCATAAGATTTTATAGAAGGCATATATATGTATTTTTATTTAGTTTTCATTTTATTCATGCAAATTTAAAGTTCAAAAGCATAAAGAAGGTACTGGACGAGTTGTTATGTGGGCCATGGGTATTCTGAATAGTTATACATTAGAGGTTTGATTAGTTTTTGTCATAGTTTTATATAAATATTTCCAAAAATTATTAGGCAACATTTTGTGGATCAACTCAACATGATCGAGCTGGTCATCATTTTACGATAAAAGATTTTGAATCTATTGGTTATCATTTTCTTGATTCTTTACTTGATTATTGTGATCCAGATCATACAAAAGTAAGTTTAATACAATTAGTTCTATGAAATAAAATTCTTTCTTTATTTTTTTTTTAATACAACTGATACATTTATTCTTTCGAATTAACTTATAATAAATAGGAACCATATCGTCAAAACTTATATGATAAATTGTTAAATGGTAATCTAATAACAGATGAAGATCTAAAAGACTTTGATATATCATATGATGATTCAATACATAAAACTAAAACACGAATTGATATAAAACGAGACTTCACAATATCTATTGATGATAAACATTCAAAAGTGCGAACAACAAATAAATTAAATATTTCTCGTACTGTTAAAAGTGCTCCGAATATGCACCGATCAAAATCAAAATTAATTGTAACAACAAAACGAAAAGAAATAAATATGAATTCTTCTCGTCCTGTACCATCAGTAATTCCACTATATATATTCATATATGAATATTCTCTTGCTTTTTTCATGTTCTTCTCGTACTCCTTCCTTATGATATTGTTTCGTCAATCGTTTTCTATTGTGATAGACCATAGAAAAAATTTGATTTTTTTAAAATTCTTTCTTTTAGCGAAATCGAGTATTAGTTGAACTCGAAGATAATTTACGACGTTCTATACAAATGAAACTTATATCACGTGGTCTTAATCCAGCATCATTAGCAGACATTGATCTTGATCAGTTTTCATCTGATGATGATTCGAGGTACAAAATGAAAAATGCTAATAGGAATTTTTATTTATTTATTATATTGAGCATTTTAGTGATGACGTCGGATCAGACTCATCAATGGATGATGGGTTACCAAAACATTTAGAAGCAATTGCAGCAGCTAAAGTAATTTTATTCATATTATAATTTTTACATAGTAAATATTTTTATATATATATATATATTTTGTTTCATAAGACTCAATTGAAAAAAACAAGAAAGAAACCTGTGCCAACAAAATCAAGAGAAACTAAAAGAAAAGATGAAATAGATAAAGAAAATCTTGAAAAAGTAAAATCAAATATTGTGCTTATCAGCGCTATTTGATGTTGTACTTGTAATTAGAATAAAACTGTTGGCTTATCGTTATCAAAAATTCGTCATTCTCAGTTTCCAACGATTGTGAGTCTTTGTGTTCTTTTGTAAACTTACTGTTTTTCACAACCATTATTTCCTGTTTTTTTTTTCTTTCACATCATCTTTAAAACAACTAACTTTATCTTAGCAAAAGTTATGTTGTGCGTCCTTTTTGTTTTTTTTTTTCATTTTTCAAGGATTTGTTAGAAACTTCGGTTCTAACAACGAATAATAATTGGAATTTATCAGAGGTAAGTTTAGTACAGTAGTCTTCTTTATGTTTTTATTGACAAAAAATTTTAACCAAACAAAAAATACTACAGAAATGAATATTATTTTATCTAAATAAAGACAAACGTAATTAATAAATATTCTAGGCTGAACTTGAAAGTATGCAGCAAAGAAGAAAACGTCGTAGTCATGTGACTTATCATGTTTGCAAATGTTTAGCTTGTTTAAAGGCACAAATGTCCCCTATTGAATTATCGTTGGTACTTTCTAATTGCATGACATATCTACTTAGAAAAATGAATATTAGATTCTCGTTATTTTTATTTTTCTTCTTCTTTTTTGGTTCTTCTTATATTAAACATATGCATAATATATATTCTATTTCATGGTATACAGAGATATTTTCTATAATCGCTGCTTAGCATTATCTCTTTCTATAATCATATCAGAGATGTTGATGGACTGATCCTGTTTGATAGAACCTGTCCGTGTATAGATTAGGTCTTTAACGACGCTCACGGACTAGATATTTTCACAAGTTAGGTTAGACTTTTTACGTGTACTCGTAGATTCAATCTATTTATGAATTTTGCGTGACATCCTTTTATTCTTTCGTTCTGCATATAATTGCGTTCATTATTCATGAAATTTCTTCGTTGGACCAGTGATTTAGTTGCTTTTACTATTTCTTTCATTCTTCATTACCTAGATTCTTTCTATCATTTGTTCTTACTACATCATCGTTTTAGTCATTCATCTATTTGTTTTGAATCATGTACACATATAAATGCAAGCTGGATGTACATGTAGGTCTTCTCGTAGACGCCACAAACCCATATTCATCTTGACAAAGGAACATTCTTTTCAGCTGAAACTCTCAAAAGATTCTACTAGTCATTCAACTTATTTATAGGCTAAACTTCAGATTAAAATACCATTATTTGATTTTTCCGTAAAAATCTACAGCTAGATCGAAGATTAGGTAAAATAGTCATAAATTGACTTCAAAGATCCATGAGCATGAACCCTTTTCAAATTTTTCTAGTGTCATCGAAAATCTCTTTGTAAACCTAATATGAACTCAAACGGCGAGTATCAATTTTGATAGTTTCATTGTTACTGTCACAAATAGGTGAAAAAACGAATGCAGAAATAATAATTTACGAAGTTCTACTAATCTTCGAGTTGAAAAAAACATCACTCAGTATGTGAGGTCAGTCGGGTTCAGTCTCGAACGAGTCGGGTCAAAAAAACAACAGCCATCAACATCTCTGTACATCCGGATTTAATTTAATACTTTGCTGCTTTCTTCTTCTTTTTCGCTTTTTAATTATTCATTTTATTTTAATTATTTAATTAATATTTCATTGTTTTTTCATAATGCTTAGACTAATGACATAACTAAACCAATATCTTTAACGTCAGCACGTCGATTAAAAGATACCAATAACGATCCAGTTCGATATGAAGGTTCAAATGGTATAAGTAATCGTTCAAATCGATGGTCAACACCAACAGCAACACAAATGACAAATGGTCGTTTAACAACAGCTGAAGAAAAACTACGACGATCTCAGGTATTAATTGATTTAAAAATTTTTTATTTCGATTTTCTTCATCTTAATTAATCGCAGATGTTCAGTACTGTTTATGAAACCGGTGGGTTATAAATAATATTCTGAGTCTCTTTTTTTCTTTCCATCTAACTTAATCTCTGTGTGTTTTTTTTGCTACTTCTTCTTCTTCTTCTAGGCTGAATATTATAAGCTTTTAACTCGTGACGTGCCAACTGATGATCGTGAAAAACAACAAATACAGCAGCAACTACAAACGTTAGATGATGATATTCTAATAACATCTACTTTTTTCCCAAGACAGCCATCATCATCAGAGAATTTACCTGACGAAGGTATTTCGAATTATATTCTATAATATTATATTTATAAAAATTTGTGAAAACATTGATGAAAATAAAAGTTAAGAATGAGGCCGTTATATTCCAGAAGAGAACACATATAAATAACAATGTATGTGGCGCCTCTTTATTTTGACATGAAGATTATTTATTTCGACGTTATAACGATTTAAGTTTATCAATAATGAAATCAAAACAAAAGAAAAGAATTACTATCACAAAGTTTTTTTTTCTTATCAATCATATTTTAATAATCATCATTTTCAGACCTTGCAGTTGGTTATTCTTCTGGTCCGTCATGCCAAACAACTGAAGTTAATGAGCCTACATTGACTAGTGAATCTCGAGATGCTTTTACAGCTACTTATTTACTCCGACGACTTAATTGTACGTATTTAAAGACTAAAATTTTCATTGCTTAAATTTTTATATATTTCAGCATTATTTCCAGTACAATATACGGGAGGTGTGCATAGATATCTTTGTAGTTTGTTTATAAACTGATATCTACTACTACTTTTTCTATATTTATAACTGTTTGTTTTTGATTTATATGAATTAAATCCGTTTTGTAGGATACGATATAATCTGAGAGATTTTTGAGTTCGTAAACAAAAACAAACGATATATTTAAAAAAAAATTATTTCTGTTAATCTTTGTTTTTTTTTGTTTTAAGGTCTTGAACGTGAATCAGGAGTAAATACAAATGTTTCATCCACAACCTATCCTATGTTAGCATCATCTTCACGTGTTGAGGATGTATGTATTTAATTTTATACATTTCAGAAAAAAAACAAGTATATTTTTATTGAAATAGGATACAACTGGTCAATTAACAACTGATAATGATACTGATTGTGATATGAGTCGAACAAATATACTAAATGCAAATGAAGATGGACGACAATCAACAAATACATTTGTTACGAATCGAGTTTCTGCTCATTGTAAGTTTCAATTAACAAAAAATAAAATAAAATAGAAATATTTTATTTTAAAGTAAACGAACGATTACTTGGTACATCTCGACCATCAACTCGACCAAAAACAACAACAACAACAACTACAACAAGTCTTCTACAAAATCGAACTGTTCTTGATATACGATGTATTCAACCACCTATGCAAACATCAGTAAGAAAAACACAGAAAAAAAGATAAAAAATTGTTTTTTTAAATCAATAGAATCTAAAACGTATTGCCGAACAACAACAACATCAACGACAGCGAGTAATGATGGTATTTGGTAAACAAAATCCTAGTGAAATTACTGAGAAAACAAATTCAATATCATCACGTACATTTCATTTATCAATAAATGAACGAAGATCAGATGATACATCGATATATTATGATAGTTCGTCATCAGTTGTTTCAAGACTTTATCCTATTCAACAAGATAATATATCAATGAATGTAACTTCTCGTTTTGATTCAGCATCAATAAATAGAACACAGACAATCGTAAGAAATAATTAATTATGAAAAATATAAATGAATTTTCTTTTCTAGAGAACATCGAGTGTGAAAAAATCTTCTAAGTAAAATTTCTTATTCGTTTTGTTTTTCTTTGGCTTCCGTTGCACATGGACAATCAGTATTATTACAAATGCAAACTAGTCGATTTTATTCTATCTGATCCGTCCTTCAATTGATCGTTGCATGTGTTTTTTTTTTGCATTCAATTTTATGCATTAATTTTTTTTGAACATTATTTTATCCATTTTATTTTTCTTGTACGGCAAAACAAGATAAAAATTCTTGTAATGTCTATTGAATATGTTGGTTTTTTTATTACTTTCTCAAAGCAAATGAACAATAAATCAAGCTTATATATTTACATTTTAGAATATAATTATAAAGTTTTATATGATGAGTTCATCAACACCGAAACCAGTTACACTTGAAGGCAGTTGTCATTGTCAACGTGTAAAATTTTCAGTTGATTCATGTATGTATAATTTATTACTATAAATTATTTAAGCTTTTGTTTGCTTTTAGATACTCCTTATCCGTATATGATTTGTCATTGTCATGCTGATACAAAAACAGCTGGTGTATTTAATTGTAATATTATGGGTGAATATTCAACATTTAAATTAAAACAAGGTCAAGAATTTGTTAAAATTTATCAAGTTAAATTATCAGAAACTGAAAGTGGCAAAAATGAATCATCAAATACAAAATTAAGTCCTCATAAACGACATTTTTGTTCTGAATGTGGTTCATATCTTTGGGCTTATCATGATGCATATCCACAATGGATTTATCCATTTGCATCATCTATTGATACACCATTACCCAAACCTGATCAATATTATCATATAATGACAGATTTTAAACTTAATCATGTAGAAATTCCAACTGGCAAAAATATTCATACTTATCCTAGTTATCCCGATGGAAGTATTGAAGAATGGCACAAAATACATGGCCTCTATGGAACATATACAATAGAAAAATAAGATAGGACAAAGTTAGAGATTTTTTTTAATCATTATTTTAATCATGAGTACAAAAACCACCTGGTCCTCCAGTTGTGTAATCATAATCATGTAGATCATATTTGTTTGAAACATGACTTTGAAGAAAAGCTTGTGGATTTTCAATGACTTGTAATTGTCGAATATCTTGATTGAATATTGCATAAACAAACGACGTTATTAATGTTGCTTCATCAGTTTTATATTGAGGGAAATCACAGATAGTACCTTTGCACCATGCACACATAAGTTTGCTAGCTTCGTGAACTGGTTCATCGAGATTATCGGCATGACCATAATCTGTTAAATTAACAAGAAATGTCGGTCCATATAATGAACGATACCATCGATCATTGCTGATATTATTTGGTGCACACGGTGGAGACTCTTTAAGAACAGGAACATTATCTAAGATCATATGAAATTTACAGGAGTGCAAGAAAAATAAGTGTCAGTTTTTACCTAGACCATTACTAATTATCAGAGCTGGTGTTCGAAATGGAAGAGGAGTTGGAGGATCTTGATATAAAATAACAAAAAACTAGAATGATACTAATTATTTTTTCTTTTTCATACGTGTAATGAAGTCTTTTATAAACCCGAATGGATCAATACCATCAACTGGATTCATCATAATAATTAATTTTACTGGACCACATGTTGTATTGAGATATTGACCGAGCGGATGAGCTGCTGATGAATGTGATAGAAAACCAAGAAGTTCCATATTTGGTTTAACACCTTTGACTTCTTTATGTTCAGCAAAGAGACGAGCAGCACCATCACCTGGTTTCACAACCCATTCAAAAAATTCAGCTATGTGAATAGCAACTTTTTCTGGTTTTATATTTTCAATTTTTGAAATTCCAATAAGGAATTATCCATGAAAGATATCCAGGTAAAAATCGTATTTTTCGACCTTCACCTTCTGGATGCTCAGTAAAAAAAACTTTCAGAAAAAGCGTGCTTGCTCAAATACACTAATTCTTTTTTTTACTAAACAACAGTTCATTAAATAAATACATCAAAAATAGAAATGAATAAACATACATTTCATAAACAGTAAATAAAGTTTTTGTTCTTTAAATACATTGTATTTTAATGAGCGAAAAATAGTAGAAACAAAACATTGAAGTTCAATACCAATAGTACTCAAAAATCTAACAACATTCATATTACTGCTCAAGAAAGTAACTATCTGCTCATGTAACATAATTTTCAATTATTTCAACACCATATTTATATTCAGTTCATTTCCAATATATAGAAATATTCTTCAAAACAAACTAACAAGGTAACGCAAAGTTCTTGATGATATAAGTTCTTTCAGTAAGTTGTAACTTTTTTAGTATCTTCTATCCTGAGAGATTCGAAATTGTCTCATGTGTAAAAGCAAATTTTGTTTGTATATTTAGAACTCCACAAATGAAATAATAGAAAAGCTAAAACTTGCTCAATGAACTTATCTCATGACGAATTTTGTTCATTCAAAGTTTGAAGTCAAAACTTGAAAGTCCATTTTTCACATGGTCTGAGGAGAGCACAACTTTTTGTTGAAAAATCCAGCAAAACTTCGATATCTCGAGAACAAAGACCCAAAATACCAAACTACTCTAGACTTTTGCTAGTGCTCATCAAATGAAGATAGTCTCGGTTGGAAAGTGATTTGATATCTAGAGGGATTGTCTCGTCAGCTTTAAAATCTTGCGGAAAATTGTATGAAAAAACGAAAAATATTCATGTTCAGTGTTTGAACGTTCAGAAGTGTGTGACCCTCTGCCATTTAAAGTGTAAAGATTTGTGAAGTGTTGGGGAAGTA